AGGTTGGCTGAAGCCCCTGTCACACATTCAGAACCTTCCCCCGAACACCAGCCGACCAAGGTTGGCTGAAGCCCCTGTCACACATTCAGAACTTTCTCTTGAACATCCGCTGACACCAGGTAGGCTGATGTTTGGGAGCAGTCTAATCAGATTTAGGCCACGCCTACATTTTGTATCTTTGTACCTTGTACATATGAGGCGCAAAGAATTTGATAACCTGGATTCATAATTCACCTTAGGAGGGTTTTCCGTCGTGGCAGGAATGTTATGGAAGCGTACGTCTGACCAGTAAACAGCTAATATTCCCACAGCAGCAGGGTGGGGGCGAAGGGCATGGCTGGCCTGATGCCACTATCAGTCACCCCGATGAAGCCGTTCTCACTCACCTGTGCAAGAAGAGAAAGATAAAATGTTAATGTACCTGGTTATTACATTTAAGTACATGTCAAACTTGCCCAAGCGACCACAACCGGCCATCTGGCCATATTATGAACGACCGCTTTTATATGGTCCTAATTTTCCCTCATAGACATAGCATTACTTGTTGTGGTTTTCTCATTCTCTGTCTTGCATTAAAAGACCACTTGTCTAAGGCCATTTCTTGTTGGTCTCCTGGGTGTTTCATTAGTTTACTGCTAACATGCAACTGTGTAGATGATGACTGTTTCCTGTAAAAAGAACTACAAATGGTGTTTCAAGTTAAAACTTTTGTTCCAACACAAAGAATTGTTCTCACCTATAGCTAGAGCTTTCACTCTAGTCAGTTTGGTTGTCAATAGACTGACCCAGACTTGTCACATGGCTTCTCTGAAGTCTGATGTCAACACTGGGTTAAAGGTAATCCAGTAATCGATCTTGACCCAGTGTTGACATCACACTTCAGCAAAGCCACGTGACAAGACTTAGTCACACTGGGTCAGTCCATTGAAGGAGACCAGAGTGACTGGTCAAAGCTCTGTACAAGTGTAGGTGAAAACAATTTTTTTGAGCTTTCATGACAGAACAACAGTTGTGGTATTTCTATAGCTATACAGCGTCAATAAAAAAATACAATGCAAAATACACACATAAGCATAAAGATGATTCCTTCCATCATACAGTGGGACGCCCCCTGGCACTGGGATGAGTGGAGAGGTTGCCTGTGGTCTAGGACTTGTTTTGTTGAGCTGGACATCACCAGCATCTGGTCCATATGGCAAGAGAGTCGACACTGAAACACAACAAAGTAAACATGAAAATTGTGCGAGGCAATATGATGATTTAAAGTCAGATTAGTTTATGAATTCTATATAATTATTCATTGTCACACTATTTTCTTAATTTTATTTTCAACTATTCTTATGAAAAGACATGTCTTCTGATACTTCATGCATTCGTTAAATTCAATGTACATGTACATCTGATTCAGTAAATATGTCAGACTGTATAACCGGTGCAATGGCTATAAGTTTGCATTCGGTAGGTCGTGAGGTCTATCCCCGGCCGAGTCATACTAAAGACTTCAAAAATGGTACATGTTTGTACATACTGCTTTCTCTGCTTAGCACTCAGCATTTGGGAAAGAGTATGGTTACCATGATAGTTAAACACACACCACTACCAGTGGACTAGTCCCCAGTGTGGGAAGGACTTGAAATAACATGCTATGCAGACAACATGTAAGCCTTCAATGAGATTGAGACCATACCTTTGCATTCCACTTGTGTGCCTTTGCCAACACTCCAGTATCCCTCCTCACACCTACATTGGTAGCTTCCTGGGGTGTTGACACACTGGGCACTGCTGGTGCAGTCATCCAGTGTGCTGTCACCAGGGGCAGCTGTCGTGTGGACAGCAGGAATGGCAGCTGTCATGTGGACAGCAGGAACAGCAGGCATGCTGGTCATGTCAGCACGGCTGGTCACTGAGTAGGTGTTGACTGATGTTGTCATGCGCAATGAGGCTGCATCAGAAGTGGAAGTACAAATTGTCAGGGCTTGAAATATTTTTTCTACATACCTGCACCAGACAAGTTTCAACTGCCGCACTCAGAGTTTAGAAAATACATTATACTGTTCAGAAACCATTGACAATTATTTCTTTAAAGTCATACTTAGGTGGAAACAGTCAATGTAACAAATAGAAATCCACGTACATGTACACCTACATTAAACCTAGTGCAGTTGAGGTGCAGGCACATTGTAGACATCAGAAATACCTGCATAGCCTCAACTTTTGCTTTTAGCTGCATATGCACCCAGTATTTTGAGCCCTGAATGTACTGTCAGTGAGATCTATAATTGTAAAATTCTGGCAAGGGTATAAGAATTATATAATTTCATACATATAGCCACTTGAAATCCTCTCATTGACATTTAAAACCAGTTTTAGCTTTAACTTTGAAGAGCTAAATCTTCTACTGGTTGTAACAGAGAAGACAGGCGCTATGTACAGTATTTACAGGTTCATTGTACCGGGAAAATTCCCCTAGCTCTTTTTGACAAGCACAATGAAGAGTGGACCACGATTTAATGTCCCGTCCTGAAGGCTGTGACCCTTTCCAGTAGCGTGCATGTCGGAAGAGTGACAACAGCCGGGATTCAAACTCCCAACCTCTTAGTCCAGAGGCTGGGTTGCTAACCACTGGACTATGCATGCTACATAGAAACCTGAGAAGACATACCTGTTGTGGCAGACATCCCTGTACTTCCCATTGCATCTGTTGGGTAGTCGGTCACAGCAGTGGTTGTAGGGTCGGGTGTTGTGCCTCTGGTTGTCATGTCGGTTGTCGGAGGGCTGGTTGTTGTTGTAACAACCGTTGTCATGGCAGCTGTTGTTGATGGAGCGGGTGTTGTGCCACTGGTTGTCATGCCAACGGATGTCCAGTTGAATGATGTCGTGCTGTTTGCAGTCATAACTGTAGCTGCAGTACCATTTTTTTTATTATTAATAAAAGAAAATACAAAACTGTGATGGTGACACACTAACATAAGTGCCACCATAGAACATAAAGTAATTAACATACATTAGATATAATACTACACAACATAAAAAAACACAAGAAATGTAGGAATCTTGGGGACAAATTAGATTTAAACCCCGTTTTCCTGACATTTCGAGAAGGACTGAAGTGTGTGATATGCTAAATGTTGTAAATCAGGAGGGTACAAAATGGTTACTTTTAGTAATGAAATCTTGGGTAAGACACATAATTTCACTATTAACTTTGAACGAAAAACAGGAGGACCCATAATTAAATAAAACTAAAAGGTGTATTCAAGCATCACCAGAGAATTAATGTCTAGTAAATAGAGTACTGCAGCTGCAGCAGCAGTAATCATATTGCAGTACAATGTTTGTACCATTTGTTGTCATGTTGTCTGTTGTAATGGCAACAGAAGGTGTGGCCAGGTCCTGGCTGACAGCAGCAGTAGTGGATGGTGATACTGTGGTTGCTCCTTGGGTGGTTGTAGGTGCTCTGGTGGTTGGTCCCGTGGTGGTTGTAGGTGCCAAAGTGGTTGGTGCAGGGGTGGTTGTAGGTGGTATCCACTCCGAGGTTGCTGTACACTCATTCACATCTACACAAAATGAACATGGAGGCAAATCATGTTGGATCAAAATTACTGTGGAAGACATTGACAAGACAAGATCTAGATTCTATACTGTATCTGACTTACCGATACAATGTGTTGGGTCATCGGGATCTGGTATGAACCCTTCCTTGCACACACAGGTGTAACCACCACGTGTGTTAACACAGTCAGTCTCTGCAGCTGGGCAGTCATCGGTACCCATGGCACATTCATCCACATCTGCAACACAAACAGGTTCTGGCTCATTCAACTTCTCTAAATTTTTCCCAGAAGATTTTTTGGTAAAAGCAATTTTGAATGGAATGTTTTCATAAAACAAGGCTTACTTGTGTATTACAACTTTAGTCAATGATACAGAAAATAATTTATTAATGGTTCAGAAGTATTCTACGTATAAGATCAAATTGCTTTTGACTGTATGCATCTCAAAACAGTGGATTACATTTAATATTTTAAAACTTTCTTATTATAACAGAAGAAGAAGAACTTTATTGCACGACAATTGTACAGGGTACATTGTATGGCAAATAGGTAACAATAAGTAGCATAGTAAAATAGATAGGTATAGAATAAATCTTATATATAGAAAAGAAATAAAAGTTTGCTTAGGCTTTACAATCAGGCGGAGTTATCTATGGGTACATGTGACTGTCAGTATTCTTTCTAATAACAAAACAGTCTTTTATGTATTTACCTATTTTTGCATTGTGTGGGCTGTTGCATTTAAATATATAATCAAATCTATCTGTAGCAACAAGTCTATTGAAATATGTCGTATTTGAAGTGAGAAATTTGAATAGCTTATCACGTAGGACTAGTAAACATAACTACTTAACAGTAAATTAATGAAACATTTAAGTTTGCATTCAGTGCAATTTCAGACATTTTCAATGTCAATTTTCTGGTTCTTTTATATGTAGTGAATTGAATCAATTCTATCCCATAAAGCAAACAGTCAGATATTTGTTAGGAAAAAATGCAATGATGTGAAGTTACTAGATTGTTTTGTGTCATAGGCTGGTTCTAGTTGTTTATATTAGGTGGTACCCAAAACATAGTGGGCTCCTCATATTGCTTGTTTTGGGACTGTTTCAAACCCTATAAATATGAAATAATGATGACAAAAATGTGCTAAGAAATGGCTGTATTAAAATCAGACAGATTTCCTCATTCACAATCTTTTTGCTTTGCTGCCCTAAAATTGCCTTCAACTTCTCCTCAGTGACCTTTTCTAGATCTGAGATGTACAATTTGTCATGAATACGTACTGACCTGTACACCTGATGAAGCCTTCCACTTCATTCATGCCTTCCTGCCCCTCCCACCTGTACCCAGGCTTACAGTCACATACTGGGTAGGTGGTGTTAACGGGGAACATCACTCCATCTCCTGTCTTCACACTGCACAGTCCTCCCCCACCCACATGGCCACAGATGTTGTCCTCAAAGTTGCAAGGATCACGGGCTGTTGAAAAGATAAAAAATGACATGTTGCAATCTCAAATTTGAGTCTTCAAGTCAGTGATATCTTCCAAACTGCACCATCTTCCAAACTGCATTGTGTTTTGTAATCCAATGGTCTATACCTGTCCTTGGTGCTGAACACCATCCACAAACACTATAGGGTAACATACCTGTCCTTGGTGCTGAACACCATCCACTAACACTATAGGGTAACATACCTGTCCTTGGTGCTGAACACCATCCACTAACACTATAGGGGAACATACCTGTCCTTGGTGCTGAACACCATCCACTAACACTAACAGGTAACATACCTGTCCTTGGTGCTGAACACCATCCACTAACACTATAGGGTAACATACCTGTCCTTGGTGCTGAACACCATCCACTAACACTATAGGGTAACATACTACATGACATATTGTGTACTTGTTCCAACAATTTCCCATGGATTAGACTTATTAATAAGCAATTCAAGCAATGAACTGTCTTCTAAATAACAGCAACAGTTAGCTTCCCACCTCTCTCAGGGCAGGGTCCAACATGACACTGTTGGTACTCCACTCCCGCGAGAGCCGGCCTGTCGCAGTCCCGCCCACCGTGTCGCGGTGTTGGGTTGTCACAGAGCCTGCTGCGTGTCTGGTATCCCATCATGCAATCAGCTGAGCAGTTGCTCCAGTCGCTCCAAGCACCCCAACCTCCATCAACTGACAAAACATTTTTTGAATCTATTAAATTAAATGACGTTTATTTGGTTTTATCTGCCAAAAAAAAGGTCTCAATTTTTACCGGTGCGGTTGGTCAGGAAAGTAAAAAGGAATATTAAAAATTACGCAATGAAAGTGCAATCGTTTCAAAATACATTGTAAGCACGTCAGCAGAACGTAAACGTACTGCACCAGCATGCAACCCCTAATGTATTGTGCATGGCACTTCAGCAGAACATCTCATATAAAGTCATATTTGCGTAACTATATAAGGTTACAATCCCATCTGCAGTTTCTAGTGTCAGAAAAGATATCATCTGCAACAGGCAAAAGTCTGATGCAACGTTGACCAAACATTTAACCAAAACCGTGAAAAATCAGGGTTTTGCACATGGCGCAGCACGTACATTCTTACAATGTATCACAAAATACTGTCAGTGTTAACTTCGTGATAATGTCACTAGTACTGGTGAAGCATGACAAATGACAGCATTAAAAAATATCACAGACTACAAGCAATATGTAACATTCATCATTAGAATCATAGTCTTACCATTCTGACAGTACTCCCCCCAGTATGGCCCAGCACAGACGCAGTGGTACCCTGGATCCAGCTCCTCACACACCCCTCCATTCAGACAACGGTGATTGTCACAGTTCTTCTCATCTGTAAGACAGGCATACAACATGAAACTGTACTAAGTAAACGTACATTGCATTTACGTTTGGATTTACATGTTACAGTACATTGCATCTGATGCAGCTTTTTTTTTTTAGATATGGACATAGAAAACGTTTTTAGTTCTTCTTTGCTCACACTTTATAATGGTGTAACTTGAAATAATAACAGAAACAGTAAGAAATAAGTCAGCAATTACATTATACAATCAGCTTGCACAAAGAGACTCTGAGTCAGTAACTCATTTCTTCATCAAGCCATCTAATCTGTATAACAAATCTTTCTTTACAGTTTGTATGGCATTGTTAAGGGTGTCAGCAATATGTAACTATACAATTCTTGTTTTGTAATAAAATGTTAAAGTACAATTTTAGTTATGTGTACAATACGGCATTATAATCGAAAGTTTGTAAAAAAATTCAAGACAATTCAGAAGTAAATTTTGTACAATTATGTACCATGTACTTCTGCCAGGTTGATTTTATACTAACAGTAAAATTAAAAATTGAAATTGAAAAGCTCCTACCTCTACAGCCATCCGCACCGATTCCGTTCCCCTCATACATGTCAGGACACTGACAACTATAACTCCCAGCAGTGTTGGTGCAGGTCGCAATGGCATGACAGGGATCCAGCTCACACTCATCAATGTCTGTAGTTAACAATTGTTATTAGAAACATGAAAAAACATTTTCAAAGCAAATGCATAATGTTTACCTTCACATATGGTCTGCTTTGTTAATTCTTACTCAAATATTTCATATGACAGGACAGGAGTCCAAATCCCTCCTGCTATAGCTATATAAAATTGCAATATGATGTAACCCAACACTAGTTACCATGGTGACAGGCAGTCTGGTTCAGGTCATTGACCTTTTTGGTATGGATAAGAACAGGAAACGTAGCAAAAACAGACTTTCCTTCGGTAAACATAACAATATGATAATTTGTGAAATATTGTTCAACCCTATCACTAATTAAAACTACTCAGTGTAATAACACACTGGTAGCTAATAACATGGTTACTGTAACTAAAATTCATAAGATTAAACTATTAAGTACTAATAAGAATAAGAAAAGAATATTACACTTACCAACACATGCGTCACCAATCTCTATAAAGCCCTGTGCACATGAGCAGTTGAAGGATCCTGGGACATTCACACACTGGAAGTTCTCCAGACCTGAGCATCCATGGGTGGGGTCTCCTCTACTGTCTACAGCTGCACATTCATCAATGTCTGTTGGCAAAATGCAAGACCAATGACAGGCATTTAATATCAACCCATATCTGGAAAAGATGAAGATGACATCTTGTACAATGTAACTTTTCAAATAACTGTAACAGTTATTTTGATTTTTAAAATTAACTAGACTAAGTATGATTCTAATGTTAACAATAACTTTGAATGCAACTAGCAACAGATTTCAACTTAACATGCAAAAAGAACATGCAAGTTCATTGCAATGAATCTGAATCTGAACACTGTCAGTATGAAACAAGCCCAATTATTTAGCATCACTGTGACAGTTTTTTCTCTTTCAGAAGAATCTGGTGTGTCTAAGTATTAACAGTGAAAGCAAACGTGTGTTCCTAAGATCGCCAAGTTTGCTATGCTTTCAATGATTGCCTTTGTTGTTGAAGCTCATTGAAAACACAAAATCTGCATGGTCTTCTCCATACATGATATTATGCAGTTACACTCATGAGCACTTGACTGTTTGAATCCAGGTCCCTCGGTACTTGGGAATTCTTTGATTGATCAAAACTCAACCTATTAGAAACAAAGAATTCCTCAAGTGCCAAGAAACCTAGTTCAAACTAGAAAGGCCGACATTTGCTTTGGAGCAAATACAGCAATGGCTTCACCACATTTTACGACATGGCAGGGAAAGAATGAGAAACACAAGGGAAAACAATGCTTTACATTGATATAACTATAGTATGAAGTAACATACAACTAAGACTACAACAGTTGGATAGCTATTCCATACATTATTGGTTAGGATTTTTAATTTCATAATGCAAACTGTTGATTTTCAAGAAAAAAAGAAGTGTTCATGCCCCGCATTCCAATGCTGGAGCAGGAAAGCTTAAAATACCTACCAAAACACTTGAATACAGACCTACTGTCAGTATGGAATGGCTCTGTGCAGGTATTAATTAAGTTAAGCCTGTTAAATTCCAACAGCCAATCAGCAAGGAGAATAGAGGAAAGCTGCATGCCTATTGGTTGATGCCCTGCATTCCATTGTGATGACTCATGCCCAAATGTGGTAACACTGCACACTAACTCAGTAATACATTTGCTATAACACAGCCAAAAAACTCAAATAAAACCATTCTAAAAGCCTGTATCACAAAAATTAAAAAAACGCCTGGGGGTATTTGCCTACTGTACTTCCATACCAAATTTCAGGTCCTTAGGCCCCAAAATGAAGAAGCTGAATCCATTTAAAGAAATGGCAGGAGGAGAAGGAGGAGAATCATGAGAAAAAGCAATATGGTTTCACCACTTTGTGGTGAACCCATAAATAAAGTTATGACTCATAAACAATTGGGGTGGATGCTAGATTGGCACAATTGAATATTGAAGTCAGGTGGATGGTATGCTATTTCAGGTCAGACTCCTTGGTACTGGGGAATTCTGTGATCCTATAATTTACACACATAGAGAACTCCACCAGTGCCAAGAAGTCTAACCCACAGTGTTATGGAGGTGTACAGAAAGTGCGAAATCGAACGAAATGGAACAAAATGGAACGAAATACATTGTATGTCTGTAGGAAGAACCAAAACGTTAGATAAGTACTAACTACTATGATATTGTGGTATTACATATAAGTGTAATATTCATAAAACATACTGTTAACATGTTAAGTGCAGTACATCACATTTTACTAAATAAATTATACAATGTCAAGAATGTTAAATACTTGTAGAGGCCATTGGTGATAAACATTTGAGATGCACTTGGGTTGGGTTAGAAAGTTAGGAACAGTTTCCTTGGTACTGGGGAATTCTGTGATGCTATGAAGCTGCACATCACATGCAACAAAACAGAGAATTCCTCGAGTGCCAAGAAAACTGGTCCCCATTAGTCAGATGATGATAATGCAGACCTTAAAACAATCAACTACGTACATTGTACATGTGGCATGTCGGCAGAATGTTCTGCACCTGCGCAAAACCTCCATTTTCATGGTTTTCGTTGGATTTTTGGTCTGAACATTGCATTAAATTTTGCCTCTTGCAGACAATATTTTTCCGACATAACATTTGGAAACAACAGACAGAGTGTTAACCTTATCTGCATGAATACGACCTTATATGAGATGTTCTGCCAAAGTGCTATGCACAATACATTACGGGTTTTGTGCAGGTGCAGTACGTTCTGTTGACGTGCTCAATGAACTTGCAGTCATTGACAACCTGGACCATCAAGTGTGTTAATTCCACACAATCACTGTAGAGGATGGAATGTAGAGTCAATTTGCTTGGTACTGGGGAATTCTTTGACTCAATGACATCTATGCACTGGTTCCTAAACAAAGAATTCCACTAGTGCCAAGCAAATTGAATCCAAATGATCAGTATTAGTCTTGAACAATTATACTGGAAGACTTATTGAAATGATGCTAGGCAAAGGAAGTTTTGTAGACTTCATTAGATTATACAGTCGCCTAAAAGAATAATTTTGATTTGATCAAACATCATTATCTGCTTCTGTCAACATAAAGACATCACATTCCACCATGGAAGACTAAAAAATTAGATATATTGGACAACATGATGCAAAATTATTTTTAGATGATATAATTGAAGATGATGATCATGATATTGATCAGATGCTCCATACTACATGACGTAGTAATATACAGTACTGTAAGCCACAGACTCTTTATTTGTGGTCCTATCCAGTAATCAGAATCTGTAATAATTGTGGTTCCTTACTAGCTCTTCTTAAAAGCTCTTCTGTAAAGTCCCATGTGAAGTGTTTGTAACTCTTGCGAGTTTACATGTACATTCGGAAGTGATTGGTCATTAATTATCCTGATGAAGGTGACAGTGATTGTTAAACATTTGATTCATGTATACTATAATTATTATGCATGTTGGATTAGAGTTCAACATTGTACTATATAGCTCTTTGACCACAAACTTCCCGTGACAACTCCATCTTCCTACCTTCACACTGGCCGATGGCGTCCTCCCTGTAGCCAGACCTGCACGCACAGTCAAACCTGTGTTTGGTGTTGATACAGATTTCCCTGGTCAGGTCACAGTTGTGTAGGTTTCTCCTACATTCATCCATGTCTCTTCCTAACAAACAAAACAACAGTTGTAAGAGATGGAAGAAATAATATACTGGGCTGAGTGTTCTGGCCAGTGTCTGTCTTTCCATCATTTGACAGAATTTTTCTGCTTAATAATAATTATGATGGACAAAAATTTTGACATGATGTTGCATCAAACACAATTCATACTTTTAAAGTTACCATAATGTACAATAATAAGTACCACTGAAATGTAATCTTTCAATCCGTACAAAAATCATCTTTTCACTGAAGAAAATAAACTTTGTAACGTACTTCCACACTCAAAGTAGAAGTCAGTGGCCTTGTAGTTGTTGGCCATGTTGACCTCTGTAGTCTCATTGCTGGTGACTTGTAGGATAATGTATGGTCGGGTCCAACAGTACTGGAATGTCTGCATGCTGGAGGGACAACAGATAAATCATTAATTTTGCCTTTGTTGGAAACTACATTCATTTGAAAATGCCTGCTAACTGTATTTGCTAACTTCCTAAACCTGTCCAGAGTTTCCATTAATTTTCTACAATATATTATCATTATATAAAAACAAGGAAAATTTATGCTCCAAGTTGCTAGGGAGTGTTAGACGAGTAGTGTAGACATTTATTGAATGCACATTCAATTTGGTTAAATTCAGAACACATTCATTGAATGCACATTCAGTAAATGCAGAATACATTCATTGAATGGGGAATCAATTTAATTTACTGAATGCAAAGTACATTTATTGAATGATAGAGTTTCTTTTAGAATTTCGTTTTTAGTTGACAACATGTTCAGAGTTTATACAGTCAGTACTCACTTGAGTGGAATGTACAGATTGTCTGCCATCCAGTCCAGATGTGTCAGGCGTCTGGAGGTGAAATCCTGGGTCAGGTTTGTCTGTTGCCCTGGCGTCAGGGTGAAGGGGATGCTCACATCATCAGAGCTGGCAAATAACAGAACAATAATAACAGATTGTAACAATGTTGCACAATAACCACAATTTATGTTGATTCTCACTCAAAGCAAGCAACCAGGATTTAAGAAACACCAGGCTGAACATAAATTGCATTGTACCCAGGCACACAGTATGGGTAGGAAATGAATTCAAAGTACAATTTGTAATTTTCACTCACAATTAAATATGCAAAGATTTAATGTAGTAAGTCGTTTCGTGTGATATAGCTAACTGCCGCCACGCCGTGTGTGTTACGCCGAAGGGCGGTTCTACCAGCTATACCGATACAGATACGGATAGTACCCAATCATACTTCTACACACCTAGCCCTAGCTCTTTTCTACAAGCATAATGAACATTGGACCACAGCTTAACGTCCCGTCCTAGGGACTGTGACCCTTTCCAGTAGCGTGCATGTTGGGTGAGCGACAACAGCTGGGATTCGAACTCCCGACCTCTTGGTCCTGCTAATGACTGCACACCCTACACTATGACTACCACGATGGTGTTTTTATGAATACTTACCTCAGCTGGTCATCCCAAGACAACAGCATGCCGACAGTGAAGGGAGCTTCACCAGCAGGGAGAAGGTCTGGAGCTGTGACCAGTACACTGATGATGGCCGTGTACTCCTGGTGGGTCTCAACAGTCAGGGTGCTGGTCCTACCACCCGTGTCAAACGTAGACACAGCAAAATCAACCACATCTGTACAAGGAAAGAATGATGATAAAAAATTATTAAGACTAAAACCTGGCTTGTCCTGCTGCCTGCCATTCTGTGCATTACATGTTCCATGTGCTTCAGATTCCAGACCCTCTTAAGGGGATATTGCTTTTTTTGTGTGTGTTTTTATCCAAAATAATATCACAACTAAGGCGAAGCAGACATTGGGAGTGATTAAACGTAATCTGTGGGCATGTCCAACGAGAGTAAAATCACTTGCATACACGTCACTTGTAAGACTGAACCTAGAATACGCTGCGACAGTATGGGATCCATATACAAAGAAAGACAAAGACAAATTGGAAAGGGTACAGAATCAAGCTGCAAGATTCTGTATGAACAACTATGTAAGAGGTGCTAGTGTCACGGAAATGAACAGAAACCTACAGTGGACCTCACTTGAAGACAGAAGAAAGATGTCTAGACTATGCATGATGTACAAAATGACTAATAAACTGGTGGATGTCCCAACTACTAAGTACCTAATACCAGCCCAGAAGAGAACAAGAAATAGCCACGCATTCAAGTACCAGAGTTATCAACCAAGGATTGAGGTGTTCAAGAATTCATTCTTTCCTAGAACTATCGCAGAGTGGAACTCACTGTCACCAAGTACAGTAGGGGCACTGTCAATAGATAGCTTTAAACAATGTCTAGAGCTAGAAGTTCAAGGGTTAGGTGTAACAAGTCGATCGGTGTAATATAGCCAGCTGCCGCCGCGCCGCGTGCCTGCGAAGCTGGTGTGTTACGCCGAAAGGCGGTTATACCGGCTATACAGATACAGATACAGATACAGAAAATCCTAAGTATTTTCTGTGGACTCCAAGGTATTTAAATCATGTAACAGATATGGACCGTATCAAACAAGTATGATACTTGATTTAAAATTGTGCTTATTGATATTGTCAGTTGACAGACTCAGACAAGAAGTGCACAAAATGCTAAAACAGTTACTGTACCTTCCATTATCTTCATTTGTCATTTTATTTATGTGTTACTGTCTAGTTTCTAATTACTACTTTCTAACATTTTGTAATTAGAGTCAGTTAAGGGAGGGGTTCCTGCATAGGACTGACAATAACCTGGAATGATGATGATGATGTCTAAAATAAGTTTCTCATGTTTCTCAGAAAAATTAAACACGTACTGTCACATCCTTCCAGTGTTATCCCACTGATGGTCAGTATGTTGTTGTCTGGTAAGGCGTCCCTCAGGAGTTGGTGGGGATTCATGTGAACTTCCAGAACTTTGGCTTCCTCTGTGCAGTACTGCACAAAATTCTCGTCAAGGAGTAGTGCATCATCTGAGTGATTATAAACACATTGAATTTCATTTTGATTACCTGAAGTTCAGGTCACACATTCAGTGCCTTCCCCCAAACACCAGCCGACCAAGGTTGGCTGAAGCCCCTGTCACACATTCAGAACCGACCCCCAAACACCAGCCGACCAAGGTTGGCTGAAGCCCCCTGTAACACATTCAGAACCTTCCCCCGAACACCAGCCGACCAA